TTTAGTTTGTAACTCTGGCTTCTTTCTAAAGACAACATGATCCTGTAACACTGGTAATTAGAGACAAAACTCTATTTTATATTTTCTAGTTCACTGACTATTTATATCTTATTTCACATACCTGATTTCACTACATAATTATAGTCCTTATGGTTTGAATCTGGTATCTTTTCAGAGTACATATAGCTGTATTACCTTTTTTGTAACTCTTGTTTATTGCCAAATCATGACAAAAGGTTTAAGCTGCAAGAACACCTTTGTTTAAAAAAAAAAATGTTTGAAAGAATACTCTTTCTTCTTTAAACTCATTCACCTGAAACAAATAAAGTTATACAACAGATATAGAAAAACTGAACAGAGGGAGCTTGGACCATGCTTACACAGACCCCAAAGAAACAAAAGTTTTATTTATAAATTCTGGTGTAAAACCAACACTCAAAAACTGTTAGCAGAGATGAAATGTTATGTTAAGTGTTAAACACTACTGAATAGTTGTGAAAGCTCATTTGTTAAAAAGAAAAGCCAGTTGGCTCGTGCACAACTCTCATCATAGAAGGTTAAAAATTAAGGCTTGTTTCTTACCTCTTTTTGGGTCACTGATTGAAAAGGTGCTTAAAGGTGAACAAAAGTTTTCCAGCGAAGAAGCCAAAGGCTGTGAAAAGATTTCTGAAAGAGAAGGTGAAGGAACAAATCCTGCACTAACTGGCAGCGTCCCCAGCAAAGAGGCAGAGAATGGAACACTAGGAGCTACACTCCCTGCAGGAATAGGTCCTCTGGCTCCTGTAGTTTGCTGGAAAAAAAATAAATTTAAGAATTGTGTTCACACCCAGCAAAAAAACCCTCAAGAACACAAATCTGCCACAGTATTTCTTTTAGTAAGGTTTTTGCAAAATTTTTATCAACCTACTGAAAAACATCAATGAAAGGCACACTACTGTACTGCAAGAGCTACCCAAAAGAGTACCCAAACCCTAAACAATGCCCTAGTGCAAGGCATTATCCATGGATCAATCACTTCAAAGGTTTAGTTACCAAACCTTAACTAACTTACTAACAGATTTGGATTTTTTTTATCCATCAGATCAGAGTTGAATTTCCAAATTACATTAAAAACACAAAGTGAAGACTAGGAAGAGACAGAAATCAACATTATTTTTTTCTAACTAAAGAGAACATAATTCAAACTGTAGTACGGCAAAGAGTCAAGAGTTAGCTTTGAAATAAATCCCCAGATACAATCCAATGGTAACACATTCTGCAAAGGCCAGGTCATCTTCTTTCCCCCCATGAAAAATAACTTATCCTTCTGTACACCCTTAGGAAGGACGTGCCAAGTGGGGAAGTTTCCCCTCCCTTCCTCCTGCCATCCCTGGAGGTTGACCAAGTAGGTCTGCACAGAGTCTGGCCCATGTGAAACTCCCTCTGTTCCCCAACTTATCAGTCTACAACTCCCTCAAGATTCCACACTCCACAAGCCTGGAGTTTGTCTTGGAAGACTGCATTTCCTCCTGGATTTCACTATGGCAAACTTCCTAGGATGTGCTAAAAACAATTACTTTCTACGTTTTCAAAATACTTTCTGAAACACAAAGTGCATAAACCGGAAAATCAGAAGCCCGAGCATTTTTGATTTGAAGATTTACAACCCTATATCCACAGGTGACTGAGGAATTAAAATCACAACTAATTAAAGAACTGAATATGCCACAGCTTCGTTTAACACAATTTATAACATTTAACAGCAATACTAGTGCAATGCAAAATAAATACTCCAAATGACTGGCAGGGCCACAGCAGGGAGCCAGTAACCTGCTAAGAAGTTCAGACATCTCTGCTCAACTATCAGAGCTCTCATTTTGACTGACAATTGAGGAACACTGTTCTGTTCTAGGGCTGGAATGATGGTGTAATTAGGAACAACATTTCGTATAACTAAATTTCTGTAATATCTCTTCTAAAAATATATAAAAGTCTCATGATGGACTATTTCTGTTTAGCCAGGAGGTGGAATCTGGACAGAGCTCTGATTGCAGAGATACCAGTGAGAGCCCCAGAAGGCCACAGCCCAAGTACTTCTGTCCTGCAAAGCTATTTGCTTCTGTTTAACTATAGTTTCTACAGCTACAGGGTGAGCACTCCAACACACTCTTAATGTTCTAAGTGGGGTTATTTGCACAAAAACACCCAAAAAAACCACACTAGCCCAGACTTCAAATGTTCAATTCACTTTTCACAGTACTTCCTCTAAGTAGTATTAGTAGTAGCTAATAGTATTTCTGCAGTAGTACTAGTCCTGATATCTTTATAGCCACATTTACAAGAATCTGCATCTGAAAAATAAAAAAATCAACCTATGTACAAATACAGCTCCATGTAACACCAGGAAAGGTAACACACACTTCACCACTTGCCCACTTGATAAAAATACAAGATCCCACTCATAGAAGAAAACAGACAAAAAGAAGTCTTACCATTACACTGTCATCTGGATCAGGCACAGAATCAAGTAATTCATCAAGTTCTTCCCCAATAATTATATCTCCATCTCCACAATCTAAACATGCTTCTGGCATAGGGAAAGAAACATTCCCTCCATTTGCCAACACTGCAGAAGGCAAAGGGACCTTTTCCATTTGAAGAGGCATAACAGCAGATAGAGATGGTACAGGAACTGGTGATACTTTAGACACTTCAGAAACAAAGTTTGATGAAGAAGCAGCAGAAACCATCTCTTGCTTCTGGTCAGATAAATCTGAAACAGGTAAGATGGGAACGACTGGAACCTTTGTTCAAAGATGTGAAAAGATCTTGCATAACTTTTACCCTGACAGTGTGGAGGGTGAGGGAGGGAAGAAATGTGAAGAAGGAAAACCACATTAAATGTTTTTAGCTGCCATCAGCTTCCAGTTCATGTGCACCTATGTCTCAGTGTTTATCTATCACTCAAACTAAGAAAAACAGGAAAGGTTACAGATCTGATACTTTACTACATCTGTGGCATATTCTCCCCTCCCTGTTCTTTCAAGTTAAAAAGAACAGGATGGAAATGATCGCTACAGGAGCAGCTACAATCATATTAAGTTGAGGAGACCAAAAGGAAATTTGCTCAGCCACTTAAATATACAGTTTTAGAGATAAGCAGATCAGACTTTTTACCACAGAACTCTCAAATGACAAGATGAATTTTCTTCAGACGTTTCCTAACAAATACAATGAGATATGTATGGCATATTTAGCTTCCTAGCATTGGCAGTGTAACACCAGACTCACCCAACTCAATATCTTCTACAGAAGAATTCTGTAAGCAAGAAAAAAAAAAATACCTCTCAGTACTTTGCACAAAAGCCATTTAAACTTTTCAAATACATATTTACAATGAAGAAAGTAAGGTCTAAAATGCAGGTTTCATAAAATCTGAAATTTATGAACTCTAATGCAATTTAAGGGTCAAATAATGTTTTAGATAAAGCATCCATTTGCAGACTGAAATCCACTCACAGTATCACTAAAAATTTGCAGCCAACCAACAAAAGTAAGAATGATACTTCAGGGAATGAAAGAGTCTAAATGGTATCTTAAATGAGCTGTTCCTACGTTTCCCCATTCATTTACAGCTACATTGTCTATATTCCTGTGAAAGAAGTCTGTAAGATAAAAATTAACTCCTCTTCATTCCTGCCATTCAGACACATTACAAGGAGCAAGACAAATGCAAGTTTAGCTGCTAATGAAGGTCAAATTTGGACACATCCATATAGTAAAAGGGATTTTATCCCAGCAACCTTCATTTTGATAATTGTCAATAAGTAAAATAAAAAATAAGCATATTAACTCTGCTCTTGCCTCAAGACATTAAAAGTAAATATATGCATTGCACTGGATTTAATATTTTAGATAACATTGATTCTACAAAGGTAACTTGAATGATAACATTATGTCCCAGTCTGCCATAATATACAGCAAAACTGAACACAAAGATCAACAGAACCCTAAAGACCAAGATAACAGCATCTCATATAAAATGTCAATAGCACCATTTTCCCTTTATCATGGTGAAATATGAAACAATTATTCCCTGTAGTTTACAGGGACAGTTTCCCTGGACCATGTAAAACCTTACCTGAGTTGATAAATCATTAGAAACTGAATTTGAGGAGGGTGGCTGCAAAGAAAAGATACTTTCATTAAACACAACCGTGACATCAAGAGAGGGAAACCTTATTGTAAAATGTTAAAATCTTACCTTTGCTCTTACATATGCTTTCCTTATTTTTAACCCTAGTTTTTGAGCTAGTTCTTGGGTAAGCTTAATCACACTTTCATCCTAAAAGACATAAATAAAATTTCATCATTTACATGTACTGCCATGTAGCCAGGACATCTGTTTACATCTCAGTCTATATTCTGCAAGATCCTGTATGCAGGGTGTCTCTTAATGCAGCTTTATTCTTTCACAAACACATGGGACTAAAACCTAAACATGAAAAATAAAGCTACCCTCAAACAAAAAGTTACTCCAACACTTGGAATTTAAAAAGAAAAGGACAGAAAATGAACAGTATCCTTTTTCCCTATTTATCGGAATTTAAAATAAAGATTTTTCCAAAACAAGAGAAATTCAGAGAAGTGTTTTGTTGGGGGTTTTTTGTGGGTGAGTATTTTTCTTTTTATTTGAGGAGGGTGTTTGTTCTCTGAGGGGATGGGGTTTTATTTTATCATTTTAACACAAATTGAGGGCCACATTCCTGATTAACATATTAACTACTACATGACACTGATGAATATTTAATGAGAACTCTGTATTTTGGGAGTAATTGCACCACACAACCAGAAAAGCTGAGTTAAAAACATATTTCACTTTGTCCTATAGTCACAATAGCTATCCACTGAAATTATTTTAAGATTTAGTATTCAGATCATGTCCCACAGCTAGAAAAAGCTATTTATAAAACTTACATAAAGGCATATCAACCTTAAGCAAAAACATTCAGATCTGGAGGTGCAAAGTGAGGATCCAAAGTCCAAAGTTACACATTCAGATAAACTGCTTGTGTCTTTGGAAACAAAACTGAAACCTCCTCTATATCAAGAGGCAAACCTACGCTCCCCAGTTTGTCTGCTCATGTCACTGTCACTTTGATGTGGAAAGGTGAAAAAGCAGCAAGTCAGTATTCTGTCCTGTGATCACTCTATTTTGAGCAAAGCATGCAAAGCTTCCAGCAGCATTTCAGTTCAAATCAGGGATGCATTTCTGCAGTGAAACCTCTCCAGCAGCCCCACTCGCAGCATTTCGGGTTGCACTGTGAAGGGTCTGAGAGCCACATCAGATTAAGTTTTGGATGTCACTAAATTGAAAGTCCTGCAGGAATTGTCTTGATGCAACCCAACTCTTAAAAAATAACAAACAAATAAAACAAAAAAAACCCAACCCAACCACACAAACAACCACAGATACCAGACCTCAGAGGACCAGGATTTCAGTCTACAGATGATCTCCTATACCACACACTGCTGCTAACACAGCCCCAGCCCAAGAGGGATTCACATGGAACACAAGAATGTTACTAAAGGCTTGGAAAGCTGAAATGCAGTTACCAAAAGAATCAATATAGTACATTCTAATTAGGGGGGGCTTCTCTTCACATCACAGAGAATTTTAAACGAAGAATTCAGCGGTTCTAGTGCTTGTTGCAAACATTCATGGCACTTGAGCCCCACTGCAAAGTGACTTATTTCTTTTGCTGAAAGTTAACACAACAAACTGAGCTTGGGGACTATAATCTCTGCTCTCAGTTTTCATTTCCACAAGAAAAAATGCTTAGAGGAATAAAAAATATTTTACTCCATTAAAAAAACCCCAAACCAACAGAAAGAACTTCAGTGGTCTTGATATATTACCTGTTTCTAGAATATCTGTTTCAAATGATGTAATATCTGTTTCAAACCTTTAAAAATAATCATCAATATATAAATTTACCCACCTGTGGCACAGCAAGAGAACATTTTGCTACAGCATCATAAGCCTTCTTATACCTTCCCAGCTCATTCAAAGCTTTTGCTTTCCTATAGAGAGCTCTGAAATTGTTTTCATTCAATCTTAATGCTATCTCACAGTCTTCTAGAACTTTTTCATGCAATCCCTAGGGGAAGGAAAAAGAAAAAAAAACACCACTAATCAGAACTATTATCATTGAAATAATGAATTTAACCTGTATTAGATGAAGGTATTGAAATACTGTAAGACATTCACCAAGGCTGCATTTATGAGTTTTGCTCAGTCACCAACTTAGGCAACTAAAAACAGGCAGGGCCATCATTTATGTAAAATCCACCAGCAGTTACAAAGACAATTTAGCTTTTTCAGAAGAGCCATCTTGTTCTGCAGAGAAAGCAGCAGACTCAGGTGCAATCAGCAGTATAAACAGATAAAAACACTGTTCCATCAAATTCCAGTATGACTCTTCTGCCAATATTCTAGTATTAGTAACTAAAAATACCTCAATCATACTTCTAAAAAGAAGAATTTAAAGAATGTGCCAACGTGATGATTTGAAACGTGGCAATCTGCAAAGCACCACCAAGAGTTTTTCACTCTTTAAACTTTCTGGGTCTTCCCACTGCCAGTTTGGACAGGAGCTTACCATGTTTGAAAAACACGCTATCCTGTTCACGTGCAGCTTCTCTAAAACGTCATCAGAAACGTGGATTTCTTCAGAATTAGCATAATCAGCAATGTTTATAGCTTCTGTATAATGGCTCAGTGATCCCCTCCAATCACCCTCCCGGTACACGTCATTTCCTTCATTAAAAAGGTTTCTAACGAGGTCTCGTATAAATAACTGGAACAAAGAGAAGCAACACTCGTCAACAGCAGTTTGTTGGTTTTCTTCCACGTTTCCAAATAAATTTTTAAATAAAAAACATTACACTTGTAGCCTCACGGAATCAAAGTGAAACGCAAAACTTTTGTCCGTATTGGTATTTTTCTTCTGGCATTTCCCAAGACAATCTCAAAGATGTTTTATATATATATATATATATATATGTTCCATACATTCTTTCAGCAAGCAGCAGCCATAGCAACTGGCAAAGCAGAAGGGCTGCTTTTGCACAGCAAAAGGATTTTTTAATCTAAAATGTGAACAACTGCATTTTTATCTAATATGTTCTCAAATTCAACGAAACCACCTACCATTGGATTAAGAACTAAGAGGATGAGTTTGAAAATACAAGCCAAACTCATAAGACATACAGAAACAAAACATGTTCTGAAGGTGTATGTGAGTGAAGTCCTTTAATCTCACTTTTGCTGTGCTACTCTGAACTTTACTTAGAATAGCACTGTTTTATTCAATTAATGTCCCAAATTTATTCCCAGCACATCTAAACTTCTGTATGAGTGAATTCAGCACCCCCAAATATCTGAATAGCTGTATCATGTTAGTAGTCTTCCAGTTCCTATACTAAGACTTTCTAAATTACCATTCATACTATATCACTAATTAAAGGATGACTAAAACCAAGAGTAACTATACTAAGATAGGTCCATGTTAAAAACCGTTCTGGCAATTAAAGTAATTTCATTACCTCATATTGTTCTTGCGTCCCTGGATAGGGCAAAGTAGACCTAGAAAAAAAACCACAAACTTTATTTATTATACATATTGCTTAAAAGACAATCCCATTGGAGAATGCTGGGTCTCACTAAAAGCAGCCTCTCTTCCTCCAACAGGCAAATCTCTAAATTTTGCCTACAGCCTGCCCTGAACAAGGAAGGGAGCTGTGGATGAATTCTGATTAAAAAACTGTGCTTTCTTATTACTAAAGACTCACTTTCTGTTAAAGTTACAAACTCAGTCTGAACTCTGCTGTTCAAAATGTATTAAGGCTCTGAATGATTTGAGAGTTTTAGACATCAGTGTTGTTTGATTAAAAACGATTTCCTTCCTCTCCTCCACTGTGCAGAACCAGATTATACATGAGGAGAACTGCAATCTTCTTGTAAGTATTATAAAATGACAAATTATCTGTCACAAGAACACATCAATTTTAATTAAGTCATACCAATGACACTACAGGAATTTTAAGAGATCTTTTGTATGACATGCAACAGAGAACTTTCTCTAGCACAAAGAAGAGGTATTTATTTCTACCTTTTCAGGAAGAAAAATAGGAACCCTTTCCTTTTCCATATAGGTTAAGTGAGGTTCTGTTTCTAAACAATTCTTAAATGCTCTGTTTTCTTTTTTTTCTTTTTTTCCCCTTCTTTCTCTGAGAATGCCTTATGTGAACAATGAACTAGTGTGAAATTTCACAATGATTTTAACATAATCAGGATCTTCAAAAGAATTTGGCATTGACACAAATGAAAGTTAAGTACTAGGATGATTTTTCATTAGGTTATTTTTCAGCTCCAGAGAGTTGAAACACTTAGGTAGTGGTTAGCAAACCCATCCCTTTCAGTAGCAACCTAGTCTTAGTGCAGCTATTCTTAAGTGGAAGGTGGATTTTCAGGCTAACAACATTTTCCACTCACAAAAAAAGATTAAAGGCTGATTTTTCTCAAAGACAGAAAAGGAATAACCTCCCACCTTCAATCTGCTGTGTTTAGGAACAAAGAGGGGTTCTGTCTTTTCTTAAGACTGCTCCCCATTTAACATGTTAGTGTTTGCAAGTATTCTGAGGAGAAACACAGGTCCTTCTCCTGTCTCTGCTGGTGCTACACTAAAAGGACCTTCCCAGAGCTTTCCATCTCATATATATGTATATAGAGGTTGAATAAGCATACAAGAATAAAAACCACAAAACCATACTCTATAAACTGGAGTCCTTTCTTAATGTCCTGTTGTCTAGTGCTTCTCTCTTCCGACACATTGGACATGTTATCCTGAACATCCACTTTTCGGATATGCCACTCCTCAAAAAGGAAGAGAGATAAATGGCTGTTATAATATGTAACAGTTTGCACTCGGCCCAGAAGGATCCAATCTCACATCAACACTGAGTCCATCAGACAAAGATGACACTGCACCACCACAGCTGCAGAGAACACATCCAAGAAAACCCTGATGGACACTGAAGTGCCCCCGGCGATCCAGGGAGAAGCCCCAGGTCAGAACCAACACTCTGGTCAGTGCCCAGCTACACAACAGTCCTACAGAAAACCCTTCCTCCAGCTTCTAATTTATCTTTGGTTTCCACTTATCTACTCCAGATGAGGCAGAGTCATGTCAGTGAAGCTCCACCAGACTACAGGCACAGCTTGAATGCATTAGTGCTCCACCCAGCTGGAGGTCCACACTGGGCCCTCTTCACAGTTCTTTTATTTGCTTGTTGAAGTAGAAATAAAAATAATCTCGAGATCCTGGTGTATTTATTAATAAAACCCAAACTGATGAGAAAACTACCAGTAAGTCTAATTCTAGAGCCTCTCATCATGACCCCACCACTGAAGTGTAATTAGAAGCAAACACTACTGCTTTAATAATATTTACCAGCTGACCAAGGTGAAAGCATTGGGCACTTGACCAGTAGCAAAACTACCTACTTCACTTGAAAAACTGAATTACTTCAATGTAATTCCACATCATCAGCTCGACATTTCAATTTAATTTGTCTGAAACAGTGATTTTTTTTTTCCTTTGTGTCTTTAATTTGCTGGATTTACAAATACCTCAGTTAAACAAGCTAAAATGATCTGTATAACCCTCAGGATAAGGCTATTTGAAGTGTGCTGTCACAGCATGTGAGCTGTGTAGTTAGCTATTAGTCCTCTAAATTAACAACTGACAATGTAATACCCTGCCACTCAATCTGGACAAGTATTAAGAGCAGCTTTACTAATTTCAAGCAACCCCAAAACTCCACCCCAATTTGCGAAGAAATGAAAAAAGTCCAACACTGTAACAACTGCATTTATTTATCACCTCTAGCATAAACGTTAAAGAAGGACATACTGAACTTGAGAACGTGCAGGTCCAATTTCTCCACAACAATAAAGTTAATGGAAATGTTACAAACTGGCACCCCATATAAAAGAATAGTGAGCAAGTGATGAACATATGTGAGTGCTGAAATTTATTATTTGAAGCAGTTTTCTATTTTTTTTCTCCTCATTTGCATCCAAAAGATATTCAGGCAAAACTTATCTTTTCTTAAAATACTTTGACAGTCACATTGCCCCAATATTTGATGATTTTGCAGAAGACTTAAAATTGTTTAAGACAGCACCTGTGACAGTATCTCTTTCACCCAAATTATCCTTAGATCCTCTCAACCAGAAACATATTAGACTCAGTTATATACAAGGCAAATAACAATCATGTTTTGACTTTTAATGTCATCCATCCACTTTCCAAGATAAAAAACACCACCTACTTAGCAACAGCTCTCCTCCATTTGCAGGGACAGAACTTAAAACAAATAAACATATGTACTTACATACATTTAAACAGTCTAAATGCTGCTTTGTAGCTTGTAACTATTACCAGAAAAGCAAAACCTGTACTGTTGCTTTACTCTGTGTGCAATTCCCTTAAAGGTACAAGCTAAAGGAAGAAAAAAATAGTATGTGAGCTGAAGGAAAAAAAAAACAAGAAAGCAGACTAATGTATCAGTAATTAAGGTCAGAGGCAGAACTGATTGTTGCAATAAATGCAGTATTTCTCCAACTGTCTATGTGGCCATGACAAGCTCCGTTCAGTAAACCTAGTAGAGATAAAAAAAAAAGAGCTGCCTAAATGTTAAAGAACAATTTATACTGTTTCATCTTTATCACAGGCTTCGACTCATCCTGTTTCACAGAAGCCAAGTGACAGAAAGTCCACTGCCAGGAGCCAGTGACACCTTCTGTGACAGATGCTGGTCCAGCCACACAAACGGGGGATAGGAAGGAGAAGAGGTTTGTGCCAGCTCAGGGGGACAGGAATCCCTCCACTTCTGTTACACAAAGCCACTTATGCCTCTCATCGGTTCTTTGCTTTCCTTCCAGCACAAGGCAAGACAGTTCCCTTGTGTTCTGTATTTTGGCACTTCTGAGGCATTCAAGATACATTTTAAAGAACATTCCCAATATTTAGCATGTGCCACGTGCCACGTTCAGGCACAAGGGCTTTGAATGCAACAATTGCCAGATTATCTTGCAAAGCCAAGATTGATTTGTAGAACACAAGTGAATACATTCAAACAGAATGTAGAGAACTGAGTTTTTCTGCAGAAAGAATACAGGCCTTGGTTATTCTAAAAAGCAAGGTCACACTGTGTAAAGCTTGTCCAGAGAACAAGCATCTACAGTTTGCCATGCACACAAGTTCCCCCAGTTGAAAATTCAGTCCCAAAGGACAGAACTGGGCAGGACTGATCCTTTCTCCTGCTGCACACATTTAGCTGATCACTTATTTGGAGATAAATTGAGAACAGCAGAAAAATGCATAACATCACTCAGGGACCAGAACTACCACCCCTGGGAATTAATAACCTTCAGCTGACCAAATAACTCAATTATTGTTTGTTATAGACATTCACGGCTCCAGCTATTACAAATATTTCAAACAAGTATTCTCTGCACCTTAAATGCTAAAAACAACTGGAAGCCAGTGGTCCTTGCTACACTTCCCTCTCCACAGAGCTAAAACTTCAAAAACAAGTGCAGTGTATAGATGTGTTCTTTTAAGATAGAGGAGAGTATCCTCTTGCCATGCATCACTGAGTTCACTATTAACACAATTACTGGGTTGCAGAAATCTCAAATTGGATCTTTGTACAGTACAAAGCACATTGAAATTTTTATCACGATTGCTGTTGATAGATCTCTATCAGCCTCAATGGTTCAGCTGAATTATGAACCCTGACAGGGGTGCAAGTCTAGTGGAAATCACTGCGAACAAAGAGACCTCTTTCTGTAACATCAGCCTTTCCTACAGAGTCAGAAGGTAACAAACCCAAAATATTAAATCCACTCAGTCAGAAATTATCTACACCATCCTAGATCAAAACTTCAGAAAGAAGCTGTGAAAGCAGAAGCCTGTGTATAAAATAAAACCACAAACAGTTCACCAATGTTTCCATATAGGAAAACTGCACTCCAGAGGAGAGAAGTTACACCCTGGGTCCTAGAATAAAGGGGACACTGCAAAGAGAAGAGTAAGATCGAAACAGAACAGCAGGAGTAAATACATGACCAAAAGGCAGGCAGTATAAATCCCTTTCACCTATAAGAAGTAAAAGCCTCTCTCTGCTGGTACCTCCTGCACCAGCAGCAGCAGCAATAAGCATAATGCATTCAGGCAGCTGGATCCAAAAGCTATTTACATGTAATTCCCACCCCAGGGGCACAGGGAAGCAGGCCTGTGCCTTGGCAGAGGCAAGTGGGAAGTGGCACAAATGCAGCTACACCCAAACTGCTTCCTAGAGAGATGCCACTGAGACGAACATCTCCACTACCACCAGCTCCGACCCAGCCAAGAATCCACCTGCCCATCGAGCACCTGCCCATCACAGAATAAGCCTGACCCAAAGCAGACTTGTCAAAGCCATTTTATTGCCCAGCCTAACCCTTTGACAGTTTGAACACGTAATTACAGATAATAAACGACAGTGCAAACTAAAGCATGCCTTACAGAGATTGAAAACTGCTCACCAGACTTGGACTGGCACCAAAAAAAAGGAAGGCAAAATAGAAATCTTAACGCAAAATCTTTATAGAAACAGCTTCCTCAGACAGCAAAAGCACAAAAGATTTTATGTTCATGTTCATGCATCACGGGGCTGTTATATAAGAGACTTCAAGCATGCAAGATGCTGGGGGAGAAACAGGAAAAGCAGTAAACAACACACGTTCCAACAGCTCTCAGTTAACTCCTCTGCTTCATCTAATACTTCTGCTCACGATCACAGAACTCTGTTATGTCAGCTCAAAAAGCCACTTCATAACACAGTTTTTATTTCTGAAAAGAGAAACAAACTTTTCTGCATTCAAAAGGAAATACCTGAATAAAATGGAACTGAATATATAGCAATGGTTTAACACCAATTCATTCCCCGCTCTTTATTTACATTCAGTATTTAGTTGCATCTCCTCCCACTCGCTCCCTACCCACAAAATAATAAGATACTGTTCGAGGTTTGCTTTCAGTTTTCACTGCTTTGCTACATTTTTTCTTAAATTCACGTAAGAAACAAGAGAGAACAAAGACGCTTTGTGAAGTCACTTCATTTCCCCAGCAGGAAAATTAAGGAGCAGGGTTGGAAGACTTCGGTTTACAGTTCCTTCAGATATTTTAATACAGAACAGATCCAAAAAACAAGCCGAAGAAGGAGCATCTTACCAACAAATCCAGATCCACCCCCAGGATTTACACCGAGATGACCTTTGCTAACCAACTCTGACGACCGCAATCGACAATATCTGAGTTTCGCTGCCTGTTTTGTTTCTGGGGTTGGTTTGGCGTTTTTTTCCACTTCCTGCAATACAGTTCTGACTTTCCGCACCAGAACACCCCGGGCCGCCCGAGCACCCAGCGCGGGGCACGGCTGCCCCGGCCCGGGGGGGGGACAGAAATCACCGCGCTGCTGCTTTAGCGCCCAAACCCGCACAGTGCCATCGCGGGGGGCCGCGGGCACGGGCCGGGCCCGGCCGCTGTCAGCGCTCGGCCCCGCCGGGGTTGGTTCCAGCCCCGGAGCAACAGGAGCGCTCCCGCCCCGCCGGTCTCGCTCCCCCCGGGGCGCGGGGCCCGCCCGCCGCCTTTGTTCGCCGCGGGGCCCTCCCGGGGCCCGCCCGGCCCGGGCCCCGCCCGGGGGGACACACGGCCCGACCCGCGGCCGCACCTCGGCGGGGCGCGGCGGCACCGCGGGGACGGGGCGGGCGGGAGCGGCTCCCCCCGCCCGGCGCGGGGCCGCGCGCTCGCCGGGGCGGAGGGTCCCGCGAGGGTAGCGGTGCCTGTCTGTGAGGTGTGTGTCCGTGTGTCCCCCCGCCCGTACCTGCTGTGAGGCCGCGGCAGCGCAGCGGGAGGCGGGGCGGGCGGGGCGGTCGCGACAGCGGCGGCGGCGGCGGCGGGAACGGCGAGAGCGGCGGGAGCGCCTCCCCCGTGCCGCCGCCGCCCCCGCGCGCCCCCTGCTGGCGGGAGGCCGCGGGTGCAGCCCAGGGGGGCCGGGCCTGGGCTCGGCCAGCGCGGGCTTCCCATTGGCCCTCCGCGCGCGCTTTGGGGATCGGCGCCTCTGATTGGTGCCGGCTGGGAAGCGCTTTGCTGCTGATTGGCTGGTTGCCTGTGGCCCCGCCCCCCCGCCCCTTTGCCCCCAGCGGGCCGGAGAGCGCCTCAGGGCGCTCCGTGCGGGCGGTGCCGTGTGGGCGGGTGTGCAGACAGCAAGACGAACGAGCCCCCGTCGGCCGGGGGCGCCGCTCCGGGCAGCGGGGCGCTGCGGCCCTTTAAGGCTCCTGTTGACTCTCCCGGAAGCCGCCTCACATGGGCAGCGCTCTGGCGGGAGCCGTCCCGCCCAGTGACGTAACGCAGCTGGCGGAGGGGGCGGGGCCCTGAGCGGGGGCGGAGCCCTGGGCGCTGAGGGCCGACCAGGGCTGAGCTCAGCGGTGAGGGGCGTTTGTGAGCCCGGGACATCGAAAACCTTATGTTGGAACTCACAAAATACGTGTATGAAAACGCTTTTGCCCGATAACGGCCCCTCGGCGAGCAGGCGGCAGAAGGGACGCTGTGCTGTCATTCCCTTCTCAGCGGCAGGTGCGGGCGGGGACACCTTCCCTGGGACCCCCAATAACCACCTTCCCTGGTCGGGCAGCGTGTCCCACACACCGTGCCCACGGAACGGCCGCTTTGCAGCTCCCTGCAGTGCTCTCCCAAATGAGAGGGGTTGGGTTTCCCGTTCTCTGGCAGTGGACGCAGTTGGTGTTCTGATAATGAACATGGTGAAGGGTCTGGAGGAAAAGCCCCGCAAGAAGCGGCTGAGGGCACCCGGTTTGTCCAGCCGGGAAGAGACTGAGGTCGGACCTCACCGTGGTCTGCAGCTCCCTCACGAGGGGCAGGCACTGAGCTCTGCTCTGTGGAGACCAGTGACAGCACTCGAGGAAACGGCACGAAGCTGTGCCAGGGCAGGTTTAGTTTGGATATTAGGAAAAAGTTCTTCCCCCAGAGGGTGGTCGGGCACTGAACGGGCTCCCCAGGGCAGCGGTCACACACCAAGGCTGACAGAGCTCAGGAAGTGTTAGGACAACGCTCTCAGGCACATGGTGGGATTTGGGGGTGTCCTGTACAGGGCTAAGAGTTGGACTCAATGATCCTTGTGAGTCCCTTCCAAATTAGGCTATTCTGTGATTACATTTCCTTTTTTCCAGCAGCATTAGTGATGACAATGTCAGTAGTGCAGCTGACCAGCCTTATACATATGTCCCAGAAATACTGTGGTAACTGGTGTGGCCTGTGTGGTAGGACTGCAGAGAGAAAAGCTTTGGAGGTTTTAACAAGTATATTATACAGATTAAAATACCACTAATCATGACTGGAAGGAATGCAGCCAAATTGTAGCTTATCAGCTGAAGTTATGCTGATGGAAAGTTCCTTGACCTGGTGTGGCATGAAACATTAATTATTAAACATATTAATACATTAATGTATTAAACACTGTTCTAGCCTAATTAGTGTGGAGAGACTGTAAATATAAATTGCTGAAACTCTGCCTTGAGGCTTTTCCCAGCTCCAAAGGGTGAGTTACCTCCCACTGATCTCAGCCAGGTCGATTCTAGAGACTAAGCGTGACAAGTCAATCGTAGCAGTCGGATGTTAAATAGTTAATGCTAAAGTCGATAGAATGGCATTTAAAAGATCCACAGGACTCAGTGTGAAATTGGGCCTTTGCTTACTGCAGGACCTAAAGGGACATGAGAGAAACAGAGTAAAAAAGATCAGGCGTGGAAGAACAGTTTCATCCGCAGATCATAAACCATGAAATACACCATAAAAATGGGAGAAAGGCTTATCCAATTCCAAATTACAGTTGTTTGAACACTAAGCAGCTTAAGAAAGCAAGCACTATGATCATTTTCATCCAGAACAGCAAACCACTACTGAGGAAAAATCCTTTGGCTGGTAGTAGCACAATGTTAATCCTTTTGATTTATAGGTATTTGATTTATAGGTATTACATAAAATTATGTTGCTGATTTTCCTAAGCCTGCTGTTTGGATTGGCTGCATCCCATTCACCTGGAGAGGATGGCCTGTTGGGAGCTCTGCTGATGGGCTGACTGCTTAGGGAATGCTTCAGATGTAATACAGACTGCAAATGTGAGCCTGAAAATCACATCAGGTAAAGTTAAATTACTAAAATGTCTATACAAATACCCTGCCCATCGAACTCTCAGAAAACAAAGTAAATTTTGTGTTAGAATTAGGAAGTTGTTGAGCAAACTCCTGACTTCTTTTTTTTACATCCTTATGAAATCTTGAATAAGCTTATGAAGCCAAACAAGCATAGGGACTTGTCTTGAACTCTAAACAAATTTTTGGAGAGGAAACAAAACCTCACTGATCAAGAGAATTATATAGCTGTGAATGATAGTTCCAGATGAACAGAAGACAAGGTTTTTTCAGTTTTTTCTTTATCTGCAGCATCTGAAATCCTTATCATGCAACACTTGCTGACATGAGGATTAAAGTTCACTGGAATTTCTGACGTGAATAAGTTATTTATGTGTGGACATAATTCCAGGAATGTACTCCCTTCAAAACTGTTTTGGTTTTGCTGATGGGTTTTTTTTGAGTGTGTGTGTGTTTTTTTTTCATTCAAATCAAGTTCTTGATCTTTCCCAGACCCAGAGTTCTATAATATACATATGGATGAAGACAATGCTCTTTTTCCTTAAACAGTGGTTATGGAATGTAACTACATATGGAATATATGGTTATTCCAACTCTGCATATATTTAGGGAAGGAAAAAAAATCTCCTTGAACAATTAAAACAGGAAATTTCAAAAAATGTTTTGTTCTGTTTTGTTTTTTTTTTTTTAACTTCTGTAAAAACAGTCAGTTTTGGTCAGACATGAATATATGTTTTCACTGCTACCCAAGGAAATGGTTCATAACAAGGAATGTACACATGAGTTCTATAAATACTTCACCAAGACAGAGCTTTATACAAAACTGGAGTGTGAAATAGAGAACTCCTTTGGTGAAGGCAAAGGGAGTATTGACTTGAATTAACAAAACAGTTGAGCCATGTTAGATCTTTAAGAGAAGAGAAACCTGCAAAACTAAACTGAACTAAGTCAGATTATGAACAATTCCCTTCCAAAGGCAGTTGACTTAACCAAAATACTGCTGTTTATTTTGAAGAATCATATGTAGATTGAATATATCTTAATGTAATAATTTCTAAAAGTCAATTTGGTGGGGTTTTTTGGTTGTTTTTTCAGGGGGGGCCCACACTATTAGTGTTCAATTTGCTGCCACTACCTGACACCCTTATTTTGCTGAGGATCCCCAGAGGTGAGGGAGCATTGCTCTGGCCAGAACAGGAAGCTGTGGCACATTTTTGTAGCTGGGTAGCGTATGGAGGAGGATTCCCACCAAAGGTATGGCCAGTATTAGGTTTTGTTTCTGCTTTTTTCATGGTAGATAGAGATATTCTTTTTTCATAGAGATATTCTTAATATCTCTATGATAAAACATCGAGTATTTCATAGAAGTTATGCTCCCTGTGGTGTTTTATTTGTTCTGTCATGTGCATACCATGCTGTTGAAAACCCTGACCCGCTGCAGCACTGAAACAGCAAAAGCTTTTCCTTTTCAAATGCTGATGAAATTGTACACTGTAATTTCCAGCACTTTCTAGTCAAATTATGGGCTTGAGCCTTGAAAATAGGATGATTTTTTTTTTTTTTTAACAGCAACTTCATCAATCTGTTTTTTTTTTTTTGAAAGCCACGTAAGAACAGAACATCCTATAATGGACAACACTTATCGTTATATAAATAAAGAGGGGTTTGGTGGGGGGTTTTTGACTTTTTTTTTGTTTATTCTTTCTTAAACATCTATATATTGTAATTTAGTTACCCTCAGACTTAAGCTAAACAGCATAACAATGTCTTCCTGCAACACAAGTGGCACGTTGCAAAGCTGTGTTTGTGACTTGTCACTCCAGCAACCGTGTTTTAGATAGAGTTAATTTGCTTTTTGCATGCAATTCTTGCCGGGGCAGAGGCGTGGTTCGTGCTGGAGCTGAGAGAGTGACAGTGGCGGAGGGGCAGCAGTGTTTGAGAACAGCCAGGGGCAAGTTAAACTGTAACTTTTATGGTAGGAGCCCCATGTTACCTCTGAACCTTTCCCAAGTTTCCTCGGGAAACTACTGAGCGTTTTTAAGGTTAGTTGAAGATTTCTTCCTTGTTAAAATTTTGTTGGAAATCATGGAAGCCAGTGAAACACCCGCGGGTCTTTACAGCAGAGAATATTCTGTAAGGCCTCCCCATGGATTCTCTCCCAGCCCAAGGGGATTTTCCCCCAGCAGCAGTCACGCTGTAACAGCAGCAGAGGGCCAGAGTCCCCCCGGGGGGAGTCTGACCGGGCCCACAGCGGTGGGAACAACGATTCCTGTGGGCTGGAAGGTGCGAAACTAGAAAGGATTTCTTAAATTAAACAAACAAAGAAGCCAAGCCATCTCAGCGCGGTGCTGGAGCACACAGAAGCCACGTGGGGTGAGCTGGAATGTGTTCCTGCCAGCCACCACGAGCATGAGCTTTGTGCCTCAGGGCAGCCTCAGAGGGGAATCATGAGTAAAACACGCCACAGTGTGACAAAGTCATGGCTGACTGGTCTGATGAGGATGTGAACAGAAAAATAATCATTTTTCAAATGGGTGAGAGATCTTCTGTTAGCCAGAAGAAGAAAAAAAAGAGAGTGGGCAGCACTTCATTTCATGTCCAGTGAGCTAAGGACACTTTCTGAGGGTGCAGGATCTATCTTGAAAAATGAGATACTGATTTATATATATCAAGATGCTTCAGGGATTCAAGGAAAGCACATCATTAGTTATTAGTTTGTCAACTCTCTTCTTTCTGAGACACTTTTAATTTGTTAATGTTGTGTTAGTCTTTACAGTTTCTCTGAAATAAAAATACTAGAACTTTTCCTGCCCTTTAAAAAATAATCTTTTTTTCCTTGTTATTTATTGTGGTTAAGAAGGATTAAATGTAGCAATCTATGCTCTATGTTATTGGATTATTTTATTCTATTCCATTTTCTCAGAAGTGCTGTTTTATTTGTATGTAGTAAACAGCCCTTGTAGATTAGGCTCAGGAAAATTACACCCATTTTCTGACCTGTTTGCTAATAGAATATTTACATCACTGTTGTCACCAGCTAACCCATTATCATGAGCTTCAGCTGTTTACATCAGGTCTCAATTTTATCATTTGCTTTTCTGTAACTGTGCCTGCACTGACTAATTTAGCGACTTGAGGTGTGTCTGATGACTTCCTTTGGAAGATAGAGAATGTTACTGCATCCCTTGGCAGCATGAATCTCAGGAAGTGTGTTATTCAATGCATAATGGAATATGGGTAAAGTGAATTGATCTCTTTTCTATCCCAGGTTATACATCAGGTTTGAACCTGCCCATAAAGAAGATGGGGGAGGGCAGAACAGTTGATAATCTAATTCAGTTAAGGAATTGTGCTTTGGCAAATAACACAGCAGAGCAAAGGAATATCTCTCTACATACGGAGTTTCCTGCCAGAATAGCAAAAACCCTTTTTTTTAGCTTTGCCAAGATCTAGAAGGTCTCAGTCTCTTAGTCATGTAAAAAGCAACTTAGTGTGACTTTTAGGAGCATGTATTTAGTCCACGTTGCCCAGGAGAGAGGCGGGAGGAAGGTGTGTGCTGACACGCTTGTGCCTGTGGATGTGTGCAGGCAGACCCGTCCCAACGACACCCCTTTGTAAGGCAAACGTTGTGTGGGTGTCAGATACTCAGCACAAAGCACATTGCAGGGGTTTACTTCGGAACAGCTTTGGTCTGAACACACAGGTGAACGCTGTGGTTGGAGCCCACCTTCCTGTCTCGCTCCCCAAAGGAATCCCACGCTCTGAGGCGGCTCTATGAAGTGAACCAGAGCACGCTACATGTGGATTTTGAGCCACAATGAAGTGCTAAATCACACACTTGGTGAGTTGGATTGCTTGTAGCAGGAATGATCTCTCTGAAGCAAGTTTTGCAGAGGACTGCTAAAGTGGCTTACAATCCTCCTGAAGCTGACAATCAGATTATTCTTTTCGTAGGTGAGCTAAGTAGGTTAAACATCTTCAAAGCCTCTAAACTGTATCTCTCATATCCTGAAAGCTATTAGCACATCAGCTCTGAGTCTGCTTCCCTGCAGTCTTAGGTCAAAGGGGCCAAATGTTAACACCTCTCTGCCTTGCTTCATCATATCCACGTGGCTAAAACAGAAATTCCCCAATCATCATATTGGCTCTTAGGAATTCTCAACTCTCTCCATGTACATTAGAGGCAGCTCAGGCCCTTCACACAGAGAATGGCACTCAGTGAGAGACCAATACCCTAATTCCTGCAAACAGGATAAACATTTATTCATCAGCTTATCTTAACTGTCATACTTATTCCAAAAGGTCAAGAACTCATCCAAAACTCAGGTTTACAAGCACTAGCAAAAATGGCACAGTATTTTCAAGCTGAGTGTAAAAATAGACTTAAGGAATTCTTCAGATTCACCTCTGACACATTGCAAGGAATTGGAGTTTCGAGTCCATTACAGTAGTGTTTACTTTTTGCTTTCTCTCATTCTACTTTGTCTTGGAGAAAATACTGAAAAAAAATTATTTTTAATAATGTCTCCTAAAATGTAGTGAAACAAAAGTCATGTTACAAAACTAACAATTTTATACATACATTGTATAACTCTGAATTTAAATGAAACTTTAAATAAGGAGTGGCCAGACTTGACTAGGGTCTTTCAAAGAAAAAACTTTCAACAGAAAAACAAAGGTGAATGAAGTTAACTGATGCATTTGATGTAGCTTACTTCTGTTTTCATATTGCTGAGCATCAAACTGATGAGAGGGGTTTTTTGTCTTCTTTACAATCATTAGTGAAATACAGGATTTAAAATACATCTTTTTTGGAGACCAGGGGAGAAAAGAGTTTTCCCACCCTCCAAAAACACCTACACACTTTTCCAGATAAAATTTCTTTGTAGAATTCACATTTCATTCCTTCCTGGCAAACTTCATTTCAGTTCTTGACTTTTCGTGGGCAACAAAGTGTTTTAAAATACAAAAAGGATAAACAGTATTTTTAATTGTTGTTTGTCAAAAAAAGGTGGATCAGCATTTTAAGGAAATCATAGAAGTAGAGCAGAAAAACATGAGAATGCTTTTAATGGGGCTCTGAGCAACCTGGTCTAGTGGAAGGTGCCCCTTCCCATGGCAGGGGGCTTGGAACTACATGATCTTTAAGGTTCCTTCCAACCCAAACCATTCCATGCCCCCATGAATGCTGCCATAGATACCCTAAGAGAGTACTTTCTTTAAAGAATTATACATTGGTATTTGAGTTCTAACTCTGAAATTATAAAAGTTTTACTCTAAAATAATAAAATTGTAACATTTTAGGGCTTTGATTGATTTATCACTGAAGTTGCTATACAAGGAACACAATCGTCAGTGATTCCACAGAGAATTATTCTGAAGAAATTAATATATCTAAAAATAAGGAAAGCACATTTACTTCTTCCCTGAAAGAGCCAGTATTCCCCAGTAAGCACACAGCTCAAGAATTCTGGGAAGCAAGTGTGAACTACTGTTACTACTGCCTAATTTAGTAGTGCTGACATAACTGCAGCTGTGAGCTGCATTGTCAGCATCTGGGTGTACACAAAGTACTCCTACAAACATGGGCAATTCCAGCAGTGATGGGAGTTCCATGACAGTGGACTAACAGACTAACACAATATCCTTGGTTTCGTGGAGTTCCAGCTCTGAAGGACGGAACAGAATCCAGCAGACCAGGCAGTTTACAGTGACCATTACAAATAATGGCACTGATGGAGCAGCAAGACCTTTCACAACAATCCCAGTGCACACAGGTATTGCAGGGAGGATATGGGCACATGGAGTTGTGATTTTAGGAAACAACTGCAATTGCAACAGAATTGCACTGCCATTAATGTAGAAGTTGCTACAACAGGCAGAGTCCTGCTGTTTCTCACACTTTGCTCTAATCAGCTTTTCACTCATTTCCTGCTTTTAAAATCGGTTTTATAAATCCATTTTTGTGTTTCTAACACCGTGTGGTTTGTGTTTATGCTGCAGGACTCAAACCAAACCTTGGATGGAGGTTTTGGGGTTTTGACTTGAACACTGTACTCTAAAATGTGGCACCCCACCCACTGGCTGGATACAAAAGGAGGTTTCTAATTGACAGGAGAGTTAACATTCTTCCAAACCTCAGTCTGGAGCCTGTGTAATTATACTGAGGCATTGTTAGAAGCAATTTTAAAAGGAAATGTTGCCTTCTTCCTGAGGTTTTTCTGTATACGTGTAGTTTGGGCATGTCAGCCTTTCCTTAAAACTCCAGCACTGTTGTTGCTGAGAGGATAAGCACGAGCACACTTTATAGCACAGAAAATGGCAAGCAGCTCAGCTCTTCCAAATTCAAATCTCCACCTTGCCACTGACTTTGTATAGAGCTTCCCTGACTTTTGCATAGAGTTATCCTGGGTCTCATTATTTAAATTTGTAAAATGGAACTTTAAGTTTTTATACTTGTGCAGCTGTTGCACTGATGATTCTTTTACATAAAAATGTAGTTTTCTTCTGCAGACTGCTGAATCTCAGATATTTGATAGTTTTATACATTTTTTTGGTGTTACTTTTTAGAGATAGTAGGAATGTACTGGTTTAACTGAGGTCAGATCCCAACCTGTAATAAGGATTGTTTACACTTCATTTATGTTTTCTCAAGACTAAACCTTCTCTGGCTGTCAATTGAAACATTTTAAGTATAGAGCTTACTGCCATTTCTTCCTTTTCTCACAGGCTCTCCAAATCATTACCAGTAAAAAAATATTGTAATTAATAACCCACCTTTTTCCTGAGGGGAAAAAATTGTCTTTATTAGTTTTATTTTTACTATAAAAATATGACCCGCTTCAAATGTGCATAGTCCCATCTTACTGTAACTCAACCACTTCTAAATAAATCCTCTCCTAGTTAGGCTGTCCCATCCCCACCTCTGGTTCCTACTGCACTCAATCTTCTTCCAGCCACAGGCCCCTTACAAGATGCTTTTCTGATAACTGAACAGGAAGTTCTTTATCTTCTAAAGTTGTGTGACTCCAGATTTAATTATATGCTTTAAGCTGACAGAAAATATGCCTTGCTCTAAAAGAAATTACTTGGGCTGGTACAAGAGATTTCAGGGCCTATGGCACACAAGGCAGATCAGATGATCTGACCTTCAGCTCTTTGAATAAATGACAAGTGACTTAAGAAACCAAAGATAAAAAGATGATGGGCAGAGGTCAAAACAAAGCGATGAAAAGCAAAATTCAAAGACCAAAAAAGACTGAAAGCAGCAGTGTACCAGTCAGCTGTGACACTAGTTTGGAGGGGGCCCTTCTCTAGGGGATTGTGCTGCTCAGGGTTCTCACATAGGTGTCCAAGTCCAGTATTTCAGGTAAAATTAGGACTGCTGCAGCTCCTCCTCTTCCTTCAACTTAGTGTCATAATGGTTATAAAAGGACCCACCTAATTCCAGTCCTTCCAGTCGTGCAGTAATCAGCTAATTATGCAGATTACAGAAAACTGAAGGGGGGATGCAATACATGTGCCATGGTCGAAAATGTTTCTTTCCTGACATGAAAGCAGTGATCCTTTGGTGCTTGTATTATCTGGATCTTGCTTTCTGTCCCAAGGAAGATGCATTCCCTTCCCTAGGACCAGGAATGAAGTCTTACAGAGAATTAACTCCTTTATGTTGCTTTACGTTTTAATTCTTCTTTATTGCATGCACATGGAAAACATGCTTGCACACATCCATAGACAAACTATTTGTTGCTTCAACAAAACAAAGTAAATGAAAAAGACTCCTTGATGGGAACTGAAGAAAATGGATGTTCAGCAGCATCTCAGCACACAAGTATCCTTGAATGTCCATGGATTTGGAAGAGTGATAGACAGTATTGACTGTTGTTTTTTTTAATACAAACTACGCAGGTAGTTTTTTGGTGGCTGTCAGAAAGAACAAATCCAAACAAAAATTCAATATAGTATTTTACAGAATAAAAATTAGGCTTGCTTATGTAATTAAGTTGGGGTATGCCTCCCCCTGACCCTCCATTCTAAATAAGCCTTGAACACAAGCAAAGATTATCTGTTGCTGGCAAATCCTTCCTAGGGATTACATGGTGCATAAATGAATAAGGGTTTATCTTTTCTTCTTTCTGAGACAGGAAGTAACTAGAGCAACATTGAAACATTAATGTGGCATTAAAGAATTCCAAACAGAATTAGGAAATTAAGTTGTTGGGATTCTCACAGCACTATCAAATCAACATTAAGGTTGAGCATTCAGATCCTACATGCAGATCACACACAAAATTCAGAATACTCTGTGTATGTAGTACTGTTTTTCTCTGTGAAGTAAAAATGTCAAGTATGCACAAGCTGTTTATTTTAAAAGATAATCTGAATATGTTCAGCATAAAATTTTGTATGCAGCAGCATATTACTTCTATTTTTGGGGTACCATAGTCAAAAAACAAACCTAGACAAAATTTTTACCATTCAACATAATTTAGATGAAAATACTTATGGTAAAGTAACTGAGACACAATGAGAATGTGCTGATTTACACCATAAAAAGGTAAAACTATATTTAGTACCTACCATCTGAAAGACTTCCCAGATCACTGTAAAATGGCTGTTTGGGAAGATGTCTATTTAATTCTGCAGATTGTGAAAGGCAAATCAGTGAAAGCTGTAACTGAGATTTCAAACTAGAAAGCTTCCAAAGGAGGAGGCAGAGAAATGAACTACTCTGTTACCTTTTGACTGCTCGTTCTGAGGTCACCTATGACTGGATGCTGTGTATATTTTAGGAATTGAAATCCATTTAGCAAGATTCACACCTCTAACAGTGGAAAACTATTCTTTTTAAAGCTTTACTAGGATTGGTTCCTTGTCCCTTTTCTCCTGTCTGTCTTGCACATCCTGATGCCAGTTAGCAAGGCCTGTTACACACAGGAGAGCAAACTGCCTCACTCTGTACAGGAAAAGCAGAGAGAACAAGGTGCCATCCCCGCTGATACAAACAGGGTAGTTCCATGGCATTTGTTCTCTGATGGCATCTCACATGCAATTAAAACTTTCTCTCCTTTGCACATAGGAACAATGGTCTTCACACACGTTATTTTAAAGAATACAGCTCCACGTGTTTAGGATGATATGAAATGTCTTAGTTATAGGACCTGGAGAGTTTTTCTAGATGGCTCTCTGTGAAATACAGGAAATACAGTATCACCATTAGGAATTTGTTTTATTTTAAACCATGGAAGCAGTTTAGGTGTAGGGATCAGGTCACGGAGTCACAGAATGGGTCAGGTTGGAGGGGACCACAGCGGGTCATCTGGTCTCACCTCCCTGCTCCTGCAGGGTCATCCCAGAGCACATGGCACAGGACTGTGTCCAGATGGTTCTGGAATACCTGCAGTGAGGGAGACTCCACACTCTCTCTAGGCAACCTGTTCCAGTGCTCGGGCACCCAAAGGTCATTTTCCTGGTATCGAAATAAAACCAAGAAGAATGACCAAGCCAAACCCATTGGTGGGCTAGTTTTCAATCTGTACCACGGAAATCATGCAACATTTCTATATGACTTTGAAGATCCAGTGAACTCTGCAAGAGTTAAGTATTACCATCTTCCTTGAGCACTGTCACATGTGCAAGGTACTGGGACTTCAACTCAGCAGCTTCCTTCAGACTCAACTGTTAGCTTTCTGTGACAGTGAGTCTACAAGTCTTCTGCTCCCAAGTGTCCTGAATGTGTCTTCTCTTGTCCATAACTGATCGTTTTTAAGGAAATATAAAACCTACAGAATCATAAAATCTTTCATAGTAATTGATACTGCAAAGAAGCATAAGCTTAAATCTTTATAATTACAGGTTATATAAATCGTTCTAAATTGTTTATATTGTATAGTACCCGTGGCATTTGTTGCCTTCCAAATGCAGTGGAAAATAGGCCTGCACAGAAAACATAATAATATGTTTGTCATGACGGCCCAGATTTGAGAAGGCATTTAAACTCTTACCTTCTCTTGAGATGAGAGTCCTCACTTCTCACTGGAAATCAAAACAAAAGCAAAGAATAAAAGTAGGAGACCATCCCACAGAGACCTGAAGATGAGATAATTCAGAGCCTATTTGACAGGTGACACGTACTCGGTTCTTCAGCACTATTGAGCACCCTTTTGATCCCACATGTCTTAAGATACCAGTTTTCCTCTGTTCACTTCTTTCCTACTCATAAATTCTCTAGTTAATCCCAGTGTTCCCCACCCCTCAGTACATCCAGGGATTTTTTGACTCTCATCAGTACATTCAGTAACTTCCCAGTTCCCAAAGCTGTCTGGAGGCATTTAAGGTGTTTAAAGACAGAGGGCTCTTGTGTGGATTAGCCTGGAACAGATGAGTCCTACATTCTACTGACATTTCCTTTGATGGACACATAACTTAGGGGGTTTAAACTGCAAAGTGTCCAGCTGCCATAAAACTCTTCACAGCTGAGGAAGCCTCAAGAACAGAATGGTCCTGAAAGAAAGGTGTAATACAAGCAGACCAAGAGGGTGTTCACTGTTGACAGGGTGAAGAACAAAACAATTAAGAGGTGAACAAATAAACAGGTAAGAAAAATCTGCATTTTAAAGACAAATATTTAAAGACAATGAAGAGCCAGCAGACTGGCCATAGTAAAAGGGAAAGTTACACAAGATCATAATATGTGCATTTCTGTCTCTTCCCTCTTAAGTGGAATATAGTCTGCACAATCTCTATAAATCCATGGTCTGATTTCACCCTGAATACTGCATACAATTCTGCAGCTTCCCCCCAGTCTCAGTAAAAACAAGACTGGAAGACGAGTCAGAAATGGTCAACAAGGACAAAGGCATAGAAATGGGATTTCATAACAGTGAGTTAAAATGGTAGAAAGTAGTTCTTTATGAAAAGGGCACTGCTTTTGTTTGTGTCAAAGCTGCCCAGGTAATAAAAATAGGAAAAGTCTCTAGTCTCTTTGAATTCAGTACAGATGATTTCCCCTGTGCATTTGCATATTTTAGTTGGTGATAAGTGGAAAACATAATTATCATTCAATTTGTTATTGCACTAGAACAGGCCTACTGCCTTCCCTGCCTGCAGGCCATGGTTTCAAGAAAACCTTTAGGAAAAAAGGAAGTGGTGTTGGAGTCTCTTGCCCTGGCAGGGTGGAACTGCTGATTTGAAGGTATCTGCTATCATATCACAGTGTCATAGCATCATGTAGGTGGCAAGGGACTTCTGCAAGTCTGCAGTCCAGCTTTGTCCTTGTGGCAGGTCCTGTTACAGCAGGTTGCTTTGGGCCATATTTAGCTGAGTTATGTATCTCTAAGGATGGAGCTCCCACAGCCTCTGTGGGTAAGCTGGTTCAGTATTTGACCCTCCTTGGTTAAAACAAACAAATAGAATCGTTTCCCATATTGAATTGTTGTAAGTTGTGCTCAATGCCTCTTGTGCATCTCTGGGAAGAATCTGGCTCCATCTTTTCTACACCCTTCCATTAGGAATTAGTAGACTGCAGTATGACCTCCCCTCACCATCTTCTTTAAACCTGAACAAATCCAGCTCTTGAATCTTGGCTGTCATGAACTGCAGCCCCCTGGCAGTGTGGTGGCCTTCACTAGCCTGGCTTTAGTGTGCCAGTGGCTTTCTTAAAATAAGACACAGACCTCCAGATGAAGTGTCACCAGTGTCAGCTGGAGGGGAAGAATCACTTCCCTCCAAGCCCACCAGTGACACTCAGCCCAGTTTGCAGCTGGACACATTTGCTCCAAGAGCACACTGTTGACTTATATTCAACTTGACCCCCAGCTCTTTTTCTACAAAGCTGCTTTCTATCCAGTCTGTTCCCAAGCTGTCCCACAGTGAGGGGTTATGCCAACCCAGCTGCCTGGCTTTGCATTTGCCTTTGCTGAAGTTCATGAGGTCCCCAACAGCCCATTTTTCCAGTCTGACTGGGTCCCTCTGAGTAGGAGCCCTGCCCTCCAGAGTATCAGCCACTCCCCCCAATTTGTATCACCCACAAATGTGCTGAGAGGTCACTCTATCCCATCACCCTGGTCATTAGATCAGCCATTTCAAGAATCCAAGTTGATGTAACTTATATAAAGCAAGCAAGTCAAACATCCTTCCAGAGAGATGCTTTGCACTTCAAAATTTGTTTTCCCAAATGCACACACTGCAAGTTATACTGGAGGCTGGTATAGCCCTAAAGTGGGATTTTGTTCTGTGTGCTAGGAATGGATTTGAGATAATACCATGTACATTGCAAAATACTATAAAATGGCTTAGCAGAATGGTTTCTAATCTTCCATATGGAGCTTTACAATTCTCATGCATTTTGGAACAACATTCCCAGCAACATGAGTGAAGGGAACATTGGTAAACAAGCATTGGTTGTGAAAAATAACTAAGAGAAGATGGAAGGACATCAAAGAGAGAAAACCCAGCCAAACCTCCAAAAATGGGATCAAAGACATTGAATGTTTCCAAACAAATACTCAAATAAGGAAGGCTGTTTGGTTTGGGTTTTTTTTATGAAGACAACAGTGATAAAGAAGGTGACTGTGTACTACTTGGACACTGAGTATCTGGAAGAACATACACTTGTAAGGGATATATTCCAGGCTGAACCTTGTGTCCCAATCCAGTGTTTAAGAAGATGGGGAATAACTCAGGGACATTTATGCAGCATAGCAGAACACCAAGGTCCTGTTTCCCAGCTCTGCTACAGGCATCATAAAGCAACTTGAGCAACTCACCCTGCCTCCATTCCCACCTCTAACAATGAGAAAATAATTTCTTTCACCGTTCTTTATTGGTTCATTAATTCAGTGGGAAGGCAAAAACATCATATAGCTGAATTGCCACATGCTTAATGCCATAGGATCCTAATTTTGTAGGACTTTGCTTAGGCACCTATAGATCAAAGTACTTCTATACTCATCATAATCATCATCACTACAGATGATCACAACAAGAGTGTATATAAATACGACCAAGGTAGGTGCCATGCTTTTTCATTTCTTGAGAAAAATAACTGTTCCTACTAAATAAAAAATTTAATGGACCCACTGTTACTACAAAAATACAGCTTTGCATCTGTTTAGTCAGCAGTAAATCTACTGTTACACTGCTCTCGAAATCACCTTCACCTGCTCATGGGGCAGTGGATAACTTGCACTTACATTAACTGTATTTTAGGCCATTCAGCACTTTCCATAAACATATTAACATTTTGGAGTAATATACTCTGTCATCTTCCTGTATGTACATAATCACAGACACTGAGAAACGAGGCTTTTGCATCTAATTTAACAAGTTTGCCAATAACAGTGTTGTGCTGTGAGAATGTTCCTCAGTAGAACTACGTGCCTCAATTACATTAATCTATTCCTCAGATTTAAAAACAACTTAATTGAAGCAATCATGAGGCACATGCAACCTTGTTCAAGAAAGTATATTTGAAAAGCAAATGCTTCTGCCCACTCCTGCACAGCTCCAGCTGACAGAAAGGAAGAATTCATCAGTAGGAAGGAAAATGCCATTTGTCACATATGACTTAGGCCAGTTTTCAAGTGCTTCAAATGGAAAAAAAGGAACACTACAAAACGAAATATAACAGGTTTTCACTGCCACATAAGTTTTTAATTAAAAATTTAAAGGGAATTCAATCTAATTAAAAAAATATGACCTGTTGTTGTAATCCATATGAACTTCCAATCTGTTACTAGTATCTTTTCTTAGCCATACGCCATGGCAATGAGCTGGACATCCTAGCTCCTCAGTAAAAGTATTTCCTTCTATCAGATTTCCCCCCTATCCCCCAATTTCAGTAGATGTTCTCCTTTGAACTTTTCCTACAACTCATAGGAAACAGAACTCCTGACTTGCATTCCTTACTTCATCACTTTACGTAGTTACTGTCACTTCACATCTCTGTGTACTTTCTGATAGAAGCAGCTGTAGTCTGAACATTTCAGTCTCACTCGATTTTTCAGTGGGTTTAAGGGTACTTTCCTTTCTTCAGACAAAAACGTATCAGCTGCACTAACATATTGCATCAGTCTCCCGAAGAACAAACATGAAATGTAATTCATCTTGCTCCCTTGGATACTGTTTTCATTGTCATATCCAATGGTATGCTGGATGGGACAGTGTTCAACTGGAAGTTTCATTAAACAGCTCTTGAAGACCATTAAAACGTTCTAATAGGTGTGACTTATTGACCGGAAGAGCCGGTAAACAAATGCAGAAGTGACAGTCGAGCCCAGAGTAACAGTAATTAGCGCTGTGACTCCATGAGTAATAGGGAAATTGCCCTGACCCAGTTGGTGGCAGGAGCGACAAAAATCTGGAAAAAAAACAAAAAAAGAAATATCCCAAATAGATGGGTTTTCTACCAAGATTTCTCAGGGTCACGGACAAAACCTGTGGTTGCCACACATCCCATTTCACAAGTGCTCCAGTTCACTCCGCTGGGAGACAGGGTGGTAGCTCCGCTCTGTTGGCCAGACGCAGGCACAGGGAGAGAAGGACGGGCTGGCAGCGTGTCCCAGCTGCCTGGTACGGATCCACAGGGCCTCAGAGGCACACAGGGAGCCTCCAGCAGCCTCCATCCCTCTGCAGAACACCAGCACTCGGTGGAAACCCTGCAGCTTCTGCTGGGACAAGTTCATCCCGTCCCCCCCGTGCCTCTGCAGGCACCGCTCGCGGCTGTCCCGGCTGACGGGCCACGCCTGGTGCTCTGCACGCAGTTGCACAAAGGCCTATCAAGTGTACAATGGCATATCAATATCCTGCCTATCAGTATCCTGCCTGTTTCCACATTTATCCCACGCTGCCCTGACTTCAGTGCCAACACAAACACCTCACAGAGCGTGGATTAATGAGAGCGTGACAAAAACAAATCTGATCTGTCTGTGCATGCTTTCTGTCTGTTGGAATCGTACCACAGGTGATTTTCTACCTCTCCTAATTAAAGAGGAACGATACAATGCAGAAATCACAGCATTTTAATGCAAAAGTAGAATTATCCTTCAGTATGCACACTAAAAAAGGGTTTATTTCTTTGATAAAAATACTATTCACTACAAAAAACCCCCAAACTACCAGCTGGTCTCCAACAGTAAGATAACATGACCAAGAGCGAGTTCTTGGTAAGTTCCATAAGTTCATTTTATCTCTTTCCATATCCTAGCAGTGTAAGCCTTGGTGAGATCCAGTGGGGATAATATCCTGGAATATAATAATGCCAAAAAAACCCAACAGTGAACAGCACAAAACAAAACACACACATGCACACAAAATCAATACTTCAAATTCTGGGGCTCCTGACTGCTTGAACAATTGACAGGAAATGCACTGGTTTCAGTGCAATAATGCAAGGTCTGAAGAAACACTTGGGAAGTATGAGCAAGAAAAAAAATCATATAAAAGCAAGTTGTATTGTCTGTGTGTTGAGAAGGGCAGTGAAACTGTAATATGTAGGTTTTACAAAATAATACAAGAGTTGGAAAGGGAGAGGAAAATATACGCACATATTATACAACGTACAAAAAATACTCACTTTGGGTCTCTGTTTTGGTTGAGGTACAATTAAAAAGTTGTTTTGATCAAGCTACAAATATCCATAACCAGTTTAGGAGCTGGTTGTTCTGTGGTCCCCCAAGAAAAGGAGGAATCAAGAGATGAAGTCTGGCAGATGCAGACTCCAGATAGAGCGCATGACTTCGGCACTGGGTGTAATTAACCACCAGACTAACTTGCAACACAGTCTGCTGCCCCCCTAACTCTCCAGATCTGGATTAAATTACCAAGGAAGTGCTGTAATTCAAAAAGAAAACATAGCTACCAAAGCAGGAGGGTCCTGGAGGAGCGGAGCCCCCTCCTCAGAGACTCCAGGGCTCCTTCCCGCTGTGCCCGCACCGCGCTCCGCTGCCGAGTGACAGGTCCCATCTCTCCCCGGCTCTTCCAGCGGCAGCTCCTCCCTTCTGGCCAGATGGACAGCACGGCTTGGTCTGGGGCTCGGGTTCGGGGGGACCTGGCTCGGGGCAGAAAGCAGCCTTTTATAGCCGGCCCGCCGCCGCTCCGCTCACACCTCCACGCTCCGCTGCCGAGCGCGCCGCCGCCGCCGGACCCGCAGCCCGCAGCCTGCACCCCGCAACCCATGGCGCCGCTGCCCCCGCTCCTGCTGCTGCTCCTGCTGCTGCCCGCGGCCCGTGAGTACAGCCGGGCACGGTCCTGACCGCCGGGGAAGCCGTCCCGCCGCTCCCGTGCCCGGGCGCTCCGCACCGGAGGGAGGGGGCTCGGCCGCGCCGGGGGGCAGGTGGGAGAAGGGGCAGAGGAAGGAGCTCTGGGAGAAGCGATCACGGGACGTGCCTGTCTTCCCACGCCGGAGAGCACAGTCCCCGTGACAGGTGTCCCCGCGCTCGGGCACGGCTGGGTGGAACTCGCCCAAAGGGAGAGCCCGACGTGCCGCTCCCAGCGGCGGCTGCAGCTGCACCGCGGCTCCGGGCTGGGGGTCTCACAGCGCTGCTGGAAGTTCCTCAGCCATGCGCAGCTGTGCCGGCGAAGGTCGGGGTTTGAAACCAGACTGCAGCTCGCACGTGCAGGAACAATCTACAAAGCCAGTCCCTTCACCCCTGCTCCTCTCCGGGTACTGGAGCGAGCTATCGCGGAGCACTCGAGCTCCAGAGCCGTTCAGGGGCAGGAACCGTGAGAACTGAGATTGCCTACAAAAACCTGAGTTCTCCTGAAAAAATGAGTCAGTCTTTATAAATAAGTTATGATGAGAGAACGTAATTAAAGGACCCCTGCCTCATACCTGAGCACAGCCAATTACTCACTTTGCAAATATTTAATTAATTTTTTTGTCTCATATGTCCTATTTATTAAGCAGTATTAAAGGCCAGTTGTAGTAATTTACAGCCCATTTCCTCATAGGTTTTCTGAGGAGTTCATCAGTACAGTATCTTAATGTACTTATTTCGTTCCCATAGTGACATGGTAGAACCCAATTTTAACTGCTTAAAATTATGTGGAACTTCAACCACTCAAAGCCTGGCTCTCAAGTGAGTATTGCAGCAGCTTGGTACTCCAACCCCAGGACACTCAGCAGGCAGGGAGCAAACTATTAGTAAACATCAACAGGCATCGTTTTAAAGTGATTAAATTAACCTCATGCTGAACCTTTGTGACAGCTGGAAGGACAAAATCCACTTTTCCAGAATAGCATTCTGCTGCCTCAATTAAGAGATTCTCTTTTGTCTTCTTGCACTTCTTTTTTTACACATTCCTACACACCTAGGAAATTCACCACACCAGATGGTGCAAATAACAGGATGCTAAGGACAAGGGCCCCAGTTCAGTCCTAGAGCAGATTCTGGGCACGGAATGAAGCGGGGTCTGGGGGAAGGCAGTGGCACGATTACAGCCCACAAGGTAAGGTGCTTGCATAATGGGGCCAACTTAAGGCCCCACCAAGCTCCCTGCCCCAATTCTACTTCCTGACCTCAGCACGGCCCCATGAGTCCTCCAGCATTTTGATCACCCTCCAGACTTCATCCTTTGCATGGCACAGACCTCAGCAAGGGCAGTAAGAAAAGGCATGGAACCGCTGCTGTGCCAGCTCAGGGCGCTCATGGCAGCGAGCCTGGCTGTGCTCCGAGGGCGCTGAGTCAGGACTGCAGTCACCCACTCCGTGGGCAGTGGGCAGGATGGGAAATGCAATTCGTGTTTCCCAATGCTTGGGCCACAGGAGCAAAACAGGCAAATTTATCCTTTCGAAAAATCCCCATGTGACCACAGTTTGTGGAGATAGCACGGGAGCAGTCTGGGCAATAAAGTGAGGTGAAAAAGGTCACCCCTGATGGCTTATGAAACAAGAGGTAAAAATCCAAGCAAACACCCAGAAGTTTCTGTAAGGAATACATCTCTCTTGGAGATCATCAGAAACTCTGCTTATTCCCAAGTTTCTAGTTCCGAACTACTAGAGCACTATGACTGCACAAGGAAAATATCCCTACAGGAAATCTTACACATATTTAACATGAAAAAATGTTTCTGTAGCCTTAGTCTTTGAAAGCATGGCTTAAAAATTCTTTTAAAACCCACAAAACATCATAGACTGCATTAGATGCTAATGATTAATGTAGTTATGTATCATAATTGTGCATCTCAATAAAAATATGACTGTGCCTCTGCAAAATTAATTATTATGTTTGCATTGAACCCATTGCAAAGAGTAAAATGTTATAGGAAATACAACCTTTCACAAAAAATTAATGTGTTTCTAATTTTTTTCCCTTTTCCTTTATTCACAAAGACAATCTGTTTATAATCAAATGGATGCTTCTGCTACCCAGAGCTGAAAGATGCCAGTAAACACACAGATAATATTCTGGAACAGGAGCCATGACACAACAGATACTATTCACTGTCTTAGCAAGGAAGTTTAGTACCAATGGAGCAGTTTTTAAATGAAACTGCAATCGAGGACAGAGCAAGGAAGCTTTTCTTAGCTCCTCAAGATGTGATGGCTTTCAATCAATGGCCAGAGCTGCACGTGCAAGTTTAAGCACCTTTATTTCAACATCCCTTCTCTCCCTGGATCACACGTCCACAAAACAGGAGGGAAAGAGCTCTGGGAGTGGTCCCAGTCAGGAAAGCACCAACTGCTGCCTCAGGAAGCCTTGCTGTTCTTTCTAAAAGGGGTTTTTACCATTCTCATACACAAACCAATTGTATTTCTTAATGAGGAGATCTCACGAGGTGTTTAAATTCCATTGTTTTCAAGAAATTACAAGTGCAGGAGGTCACGAGCATCCCACATGTTTCAAGTTACTCAAAGGTGCTGGGAACAGTATTTTTTCTGGCACATTTTCCATTAACTGATTATAGATAATCATATAATCTATTATAATAGATTACTCTATTAGTCTATTATAATAGATTATGTGATTATACAGATTATATAAAACCTACGTAATCGTCATAACTATTTTGTAGGAAAATAAATATCAAAGCCTTCAACGACAAAGTCTAAATATTTTTTCTGCTGTCTGTCTCTCTCACAAGGTATTATCAGTTATTAATTCTTAATGTCTTTTGCAATCTGTATCCAGCACTGGGAGTTTAGTTTTATAAACTGTTCTCCTCATATCAAAATAAATAATTAGTTTAATTACTAAGAAACTGTAACCAGAAACCTCCCACTAATTTGTTTTGTACTCATTCAGCTTCTTAAAATGTGCTATAAATAGCTTGGAGCCAGCACTGCAAGGAGATGCTGCCCATTACCATTAAGGGTAGCTCAACCTGCAGGAGGACAGGAAGCCCCCAGAATTGTCACCCAGTGTCTCAACATTGTTCTGCTGCTCAGGATCTATTGCTTTAGTACTGACATGGGACAGTTAAAATATAGTTCCTAAATACAGTTTGTTTTGGGGAAATACTGGTGAGAATCCCTTAAACAACAAAAAAACCCAAACAAAATGACACAGAAAAAAATATCCCAACCCCACCTTTCTAATTTCCCTGGAAATGACTCCAAGCACCCACTCATTTCCCTGCTCTACATCCACCACACCATCCCCACCAGTTATTTGTCTGCTTTGTCTAAAACTCAGGAAAACCAGAACCCTATCATAGAGGACATATTTATTCCAACGTAAAGCTTACATTCTACAAAATAACAATCTGGGCAAAATTGTATGTTATAATAAGGAGTAAACACTGCAACCCTTTGGGCAGCCAGTCCTAAAAATCTGTGGGCCTGGGCCACAGAACAGATGCTGCCCTTACCAGTTTTAAGACTGGAGATGACTGAAGTCTGTCTCTGTTTGCTGCCTCCGTGGGAGGAAACCCCTGCAGCTCTTCTGAATGGACCGGGGCCAACGGGACGGGGTCAAGCAGTGTGACCCCAGAGTGTCAAAAACCAAAACTGTGTTACCTTTCAAGGACCGTCATTTATTATCAGCGCTTAAATATTTTATATTTGCACGTTCAATTCAATAAAAACCCGTTTTTTCTCCCCAGTTTATAAAGGTGCTTTGGGGGAAGCCCGTTCCCGGCAGCGGCGGGGAATCCTGGAACTGGCCGGAGCCATTCGCTGCACCACGGGCCGCTCGCCCTTCGCATACCTGCGCTACGGCTGCTACTGCGGGCTGGGAGGGAGAGGATGGCCCAAGGACAGGGTGGACTGGTGAGAGGCACTGCTGAGCTGGGTAGCCAAGTGCAGAGTAAAAGGACTAAAATATAAATCAGGCCTATTTAACAGCAGCGGGGGACTGAGTTTAAACGCTGTGTTTCTGTAGATTGCCTTGAACCCCAGCTTCCCCTGCAGCACTGTGGGATTCACAGCACAGCTGAGCTTCTTTGCCGGTGCTGTTCAACCAAGAGCTGAATAACTGGAGTCTTGTTGGACAAGGTTAAAGCTCAAACATTCAAAAAATCTATAAAAGTAAAAATTAAAAGGGCAATTGAAAAATCTTGTGATTTTACTACCATGTCCCCTTTGATTACCATTCAAAACAATACATAAAAATTATGCAAAATCCAACCTGTTGAAAAATAAAAATAATCCTAAAAAACAAACCTTTCTATTTAGTACTAAATCTCAGCATATTGACTATCATCAATTTAATTTGTAATTGAACGTTAACTGACAAGATTATTTACTGGTTTTTTCCTGGGCTTTTTTGCTTTTTTTAAAGTTTCTATGCATGACCTGGAGTTATTGATCTACTTCCTGGGCATGTGCTGTTCAACTGTTACATTCCACGGGATCTTTACACAGCAATTTGTGTGGAATTACCAAGTAATTACTTAATAAGCATGGGAAAAAGCAGTAACTGCAAAGCGAGAGCTCACAGCATTAACTTTTCCTATTGCAGACACAAATTCCTCAGGCAACCTAAACACCATCTAAACACCATGTGCCTGCTGTAATATGGTTTTAGGCTACCAGGAAGAAACAGAATGAATGAATGAATGAATGCAGAGTGCACAGTTTGTGGATACACCCACCAAGTCAAAAAGAAAG